ATCACTTAAATTCCTCACTGCTCTGAAGTTTCCTGTGTATTTTTAAATTCTGATATATGGGCATCAATCAATAGTTTCATCCACTGCCCATGACTTTGTTTTGTTGACATTTCTTGCAGTTTAGAATGGCCCATTAACAGCCAAGGTGAAGTGACCATCTCCTGACACAGAATGCCAGTGATCCATGCAGGGAAAAGAGAAACCCTGCAATTTATGAGGAGGTTAAATAGTGCTCTGGGTGCAAATAGTCTTTTAATTTAAATAGCATTTTACGCTGGAGTCCTGGCCAGGTTAATAAGGGCTACCAGCAACAACTCAAGGAAGAACTATTGGGTGAGGAAGTTAAAGCTGTCTTACAGTCTTTGGGAAAGGAAGAGGAAGATGTCCAAATCTGTATCTGATGTGCTAAGCAAATTTGGGCTGGATCTGCCCATTTCTATACCCAATGACACAAATGGCAATAATTTGACTGGTGTCACACTTTTGTGTGCCTTTGTTCCCCTGGCCGGATGGACCAGCTGAAGTGATTCATGCACTAGTTAAAATCAAGAGTTGCTGGTACCTCCTGTTGTGAAATAGTTCTCTGTAAAGACACAAGCTGCCAGGAAAGGAGAAAGGTGTGTTCTCTGTTTTCACTGCACTTCCTTTGGATCTGGGCGCTGTGGTGGGGGTCCTCATGGGTATGTGGTGTGCATGGTGAGAAGATGAGTGGGATATTGTGAGTATGTGGTAAATTCTGTGTGGGGAAGAGCCATGGGTTTGATGGTGGGCAGGCTGGGGCTGAGGTGCTGTTTGGGGGGAAGTTGTGAAACTGGAAGTGAAAGTCTGAAGGCTTTCTTGAGGGATTTTGTGAAATCGGAAGTGCCTGAGGTGTGGTGAAGGACTGTGCTGAAAGACTGAAGTGGCAGGTGGGGTGTGGAGCTGCACTGAAAGAGCTCCTGCCACCAGAATTATTCACTGGGGGCAGAACAAGCAGAGGCTGGGAAGTTATGGGTGCTGAGGTGTGAATTTTGGGTGGACCCTCCTCCAGGGAAGGTCGGATGAAAAAATAGGGACTAAATACGGTGCTGAATTTTGTTGGGAGAGACTGTGGGTCAGGAGAGGACAGTGTGGTGATGGGTGTGTTATGGTTGGGCAGGGACAATAGGGATGAGCAGCTGTGCTGAGGGAGGTTGCAAAACCATCAGCAAAGGTGTTTTGGGAGAGGAATGAAAATTTCTCTGTGTAACCCCGAGCGGCAGTAAAGCATCATCTTCAGGGGCTGTGAAACCACTGCATCTCAGGGACATGGGTATGAAACATCAATGCAAGAGGCAAGGGGTGGGTTTGTATGGACAAAACTGGCTGGAAAGAGGAGAATTAGTAAAACAAAAATTGTTTCCATGACACTGTGAAGAGGGGAAGGGGAAGTGGTTCAGTTATCACACACACGTGATGTTCTCCCCTGAAGAGTGATTGGCTGGTGTGTGTCACACTGGCTTTTTAAAGTGTTTGATTAGCCCAGCACTGCAGTATTGACACAAGGACCTTGTCTGGACCCTATGCCACAGAATTCAGGGGACAATATTGCCCAGCAGATCCACACCAGGCAGCTGCTGCAAAGCCATCACTGAAATTCCAAGGAACCCACAAGAAGGTGAGAAATTCCTAGATGGATCTTTGCCATTGCACTCTAATGCTTTCTCTCAGGCTTTTGGGAAAATGGTGAGGAGAAGGGGGGAAAACCAAAAACAGTGGAGGAAAGGAGAAGATCAAATATTCTCCTGCTGGTTAGAAATTTACTGTAGGTCAGATCATTGTCGTGATCATTTTCAAGGTAAGAAGAACTTCATTCCAGGGTTGCTTTTCCATGAACAAGTGCTATTGGATTGCTCTAAATACACCTCTGTAATATAAATGTCATTATTTAGAGACCTGCATTACAGCAGCATAAGTTTTTGTCCTTAGTCTAAGTGGTTTTGCAGGCAGGTTTTGCAGGTAAACCACAGGGAGGGTGGTTAATTCCAAGAGAGAAAAAGACCACCTGGACTCAGGCTGCTGCTGTTTGAGGAGAACTTTCACTAGTTAGTTTTATTAAGGAAGTAGATTCATGTCTGGAATGTGTCCTGGAGACAAGAATTCAGTCTTTCCAAGGGAATACAATGGCACTCAAATGTTCATGACCTCTCCAAATGGACTGGAAACTTGCTTCAGATTTGCCCAGATACCTTGTGCTAGAGAGAGCAGTGCCTTGGGTCTTCTAAAGGCCAGGAAACCACCTTAACCACCGGGTCTTCCTCTGTCCTTGCAGCAGGGTTGCTGCCAAGAGTTTGATGCTGCTTCAGCTAATTTCTGCTGTGAACCAAAATCTGATGATTTGTGGCCACCCCAGATGAGGGTGGAACAGCCACAAGGCTGGGCCCTAAAGTCTTGAGGTTAGACCTGAAGTCCTGTAAGAGCTGAGGATGGGATCATCCACCACTATCTAACAGTGTGGTGCAGTGGCAGAAGTTCCCTGCTTTCAGTCAATCCTGAAGGAAATCGTAGAATCCTGGAATGGTTTGGGTTAGAAGGGACCTTAAAGATCATTGCATTCCAGCCCCCTGCCATGGGCAGGGACACCTTCTACTGGAACAGGTTGCTCCAGGCCCTGTCCAACCTGGCCTTGAAATTCCCTGCATCACACATTTCTCTTGCCTCTGTCCATGCAAAACTATGGTCATTGTGTCTGGAGTGCTAGGATGAAACAACAGTGATTCAATCTGTCACATTTTTTGTTTTTGGAAGTCTGTATCCATGTGTTTTACAAAGAGAGAACAGAGGATTCGTGCTGGTTAGATGGTTCAGTGACATGGCTCCCAGTAAACCCTGTTTTGGCTTGTTCCTCTCTTATTTTTAACCCATCTCTCATGACACTTCTCTGCCTACCATGTCCAAATTAGCAGCTGGCTGAGAGAGAGGGAGCAAAAAAACCACAGTATGTGTTCTTATCAGAGAAAAGAAAAAAAAGGTGTCGAACCTATTTTTCTACTTTTTCTTATTACCAAGGTTCTCATTCAGATCTCAGTACCATGGGGGAGGAAACAGTGAACTGCCTCAGGGAATGGGGTGAGTTATCAGACCCATAAGTCCAGTGTCCTGTGAGGATGAGATATTTTGTGGTTTCTTACACATGGTTCTTACAGTTTCTGAGGAAAGGACTGACTGTGCCAGACCAAAATGTTTATTGTCTATACATAGGACCCAAGAGAACAAACCAACCACATTAAGTAGCAAATTAATATCTTAATTAAAATAGAAATCAGTCATCAATATAAAAAAACTACCAGCTTTCTGTAGAATGAAATGTTTCCATAGAATCATAGAATCACAGAGTGATTTAGGTTGGAAGGGACCTTTAAGCTCATCCAGTTCCAACCCCCTGGCATGGGCAGGGACACCTTCCACTAGACCAGGTACTTTCTACCATGTTTTCTGGGCATGCACATAGGACTGAACTCAACCAGTTTTTACACTAATTAAACATGTATTTTGGCTGCCTGAAGCCTTCACACTTCTGACAAGATTTTTGTCCCACCTAATCCTATCTCCACGAGACAATTATCCCCGAGTTGTTAACAGTGACTTCTGTTTGGCTTTAAACTGACATTGGGTGGGTTTAGGTGGGATATTGGGAAGAAATTCTTCCTGTGAGGGTGGTGAGACCCTGGCACAGGTTGCTCGGAGGGGGTCTGGAAGACCTGTCCTGCAGGTGTTTAAGGCCAGGTTGGACAGGGCTTGGAGCAACCTGGTCTAGTGGAAGGTGTCCCTGCCCATGGCACAGGGTGGAACTGGATGAGCTTTAAGGTCCAAATTCTAGCTACAAAGACCTGGAACAAAACCAGGAACACCACTAGGTCACCATGATGGAAAGTCACCGTGAAGTTACCACCTCTGCCCTTTCTTTTTCCAGGTGTGTCTGGAATCACCCATTATGAGTTCCACAGCCACACCAGTCTTCCTTCCAGCCACAACCACCCAGGCCCTCGGGACTAACCAGAGTGGGGCTGTGGGACAACAGGAGCCATCCTATGCTGTCTTGAAGTTCATGGAGAGCTTCTGCCTCATCAGCTCTGCCTGTGGGATGGTGGGGAACGCCCTGGTCCTGTGGTACCTGGGCTTCCGCATCCGCAGGAACCACTTCACAGTCTACATCCTGAATCTGGCAGCCGCCGACTTTGGGTACCTGCTCTGCATCGCCATCGAGACCGTCCAGTACCTGATGCAGTTCAATGTGGGGGTGCAGTTTGGGATATTCCTCTTCCTGGATCTCTCCATGTATGGGACCGGCCTGTACCTACTGACAGCCATCAGCATCGAGCGGTGCCTGTCTGTGCTCTCTCCAATCTGGTGCCGGGCCCACCGCCCCAAACACTTGTCTGCCATCATCTCCGGCCTGCTCTGGGCTCTGTCCTTGCTGCTGAACACACTGGGGTACATTCTGTGCACCATCCGCCCCTCTCCCAAGCTCTGCCAGAGCCTGCTCATCACCATCGGGACCTTCGACTTCCTCATCTGCGCACCCCTCATGCTGCTCTTCAGCCTCACTCTCTTCCTCAGGGTCAAGTGCAGCTCCCAGCACTTCCAGACGGGCCGGCTCTTCACCATCATCATGCTCACCATCCTCCTCTTCCTCATCTTTGCCGTACCCCTCAGCGTCCTCATCCTCTTCGACTTCCTGGGTTACAAATTTCTCTACTCCCCAGAGATTGGCTTTGTGCTGTCTTGTGTCAACAGCACCCTCAACCCTGTCATTTACTTCCTGGTGGGAAGCTACAGGGATCGGAGGTTCAAGCTCACCCTTGGACTGGCATTCCAGAGGGCCTTTGAAGAGTCAGGGGACGACAAAGATGAACGGGAAACCAGGGACTCAGTAACTATGTCCTCCTAAAAGCCTGGTCTAGAGACAAGAGTGGGCAGAGTTGAAGAACTCCAAGGTTTTGGGGAAGGTTCATTGCACCTGACCTTCAGTATCCTCACTGTAGATAGTTCAGCTAATTAAATGAGTTCTGTCTGTGATCAGTGAAATCACACAAGGACCTGGACCACAGAATTTTCCTGAACTGTATTTGGACCACAAGTGACTATTAAAGAACATTAATTTGATAAGGTGAAATGTCTTGGTGTCTGAATTTCCTCAAAGGAATCTTACTTAGAATTTGCACTTCACTCAATAAATCCCTGTCATTCCTAAGTGCGTGAATTCTCAGTCACTTTTCACTCGGATCGCTGAAGATGAGATGAGAAACAACCTTCCTCTTGTTGAAATCAAACATAAAACTCCTGCAAGGAGGAGGAATTTATCCCATTTAATTTTAAATACCCATATCTGAGCACACTTGCAGCTCAGAGAGCCATTCTGGGCTTCCTAATGTGAGCATGTCAAAGAGTGAAGTTATTTTAATTTCTTCCAGCCCTGGACAGACTTTCTGCATTTATCTAAAGTGTGAATTGCTTGTTGTTTCTTCCTTGAAAAGGACAGATAAGAATCCATGGCTTTTAAATCTCCTTTACCAATAAAAATAATTTCAAGATTAGGGAAAAAAATAGAGGAAACAGAAAAAGGTAAATAAATAACATGAATTGCAACAAATTAATCTATAGACCCAATCCCTTGAGGTATAAGATGGGATTATTTGTCCTATAAAACTACCTAACATTTATTCTTTGAACCAAAATTGTTAGGAAAAGGAAACATAGGTAATTTTCTTTGAAAAACCTTCACTCCTTTATCTGGAATTGTTTTCCTAAAGGAAAGCTTCTTTTTTTCTATTATTTTTTACATTTTTTTCTGTTCCTTTACCTTTTTATTTATTTGAAAAGCATCACTTAAAAGAATTAGTGATTCACCCTAATGCCTGTAGTTGCTTTTTGTTTCCCGTTTTGAGCTCCTGAAAGCTGAAATTTGAGTCCCATTTCTACCATTCTCTAATTTTTAATGCTATTTTTCCATAATGTACATACAGGTGATTCAGAATTTTTTCCCTTGGGATCTCTTGGGACCTCTCACAAAGAAGCTGTTTTTAAATCACCTTAAAATGAAGAAGGAATGAGCCCATAAAGTCCAATTTCTTCTGAACACAGACCAAATTTTAGGGCGCTGACTTCCAGTCTTCTCTGAATAGCGGAAATGACTAATGGAAAGAAACTTTGGAAGATAAATAGGATAGAAAATATCCTCCTTCACTGACAGATATTCCTGGGTTATATAGATTTTTTCTGTGCTGGTAATTATATTAATATTAGCACACACTTAATTGCTTTGCTTTATTGTTCTGTGTTTTTAGTTGATGAATCTCATGAATATTTGGCAATATGATTTTCTCCATCTTGTTATCCATTATGCCTATTCTGGAGCTTCCTTAGTATGTCTTTCCGTCATAGCTGTGCTTTGCATTAGGGAGGGATCTGAGAAGAACCAGAAATCCTCATTGCACAATATGTATGGGAGGAAATAAGACTTGAATTACTGTCAATGACAGAACTAAATATAAGGCAAATTGTAATTAAAATAAACAGAGGGTAAAATGAAGAGAGAAAATGGGGACTGGACCAGATAAATAGCTTTTTATTTAATGCACAGGAAGAACTCGACTGAGCCAAAGGAGACAGAGTTTATTCCCTGGGAATGGGGCAGTAAGGGTCATTCCAGGGGAATACAGCCAGGGAACGGGACCGAGCCCAGATACCCTGGCTCTGAGCCACGTGCCCTCAAGCCCCCACACTTCTGGCTGTCTGTGAGGTGCCACATCTCCAGGTCACCTCACCAGCAGTGCCTTACAGAGAGGTCACCTCCACTACAGTGTCCCAACACACGTGGCTCCTCTCCTCATTCCCTGCTTTCTCTTCAAAGGCACGTCGGAGCGCAACTTTGACGGAGCAATGGAAGCGGCGCCGCCGGCAGCTCCCCACCAGGACGTAAATCACAGGATTCAGGCAGCAGTCCAGCAATGCCAGCAGCAAAGAGGTGTTGTCAGGGATTATTTCATCAGAATTGAGAATATTGAGGAAAATCTCTAGGCAGAAAGGAATGCCGAAAGCAAAGAAGACAATGACTTCGATCAGGACAGCAACAGAGAGCCTCCCTGGGTGTCGTCTCTGGGAGCCACAGCGGAGCTTGGTGAACAGGAACAGGTTGGAAACCAACATCAAGACTGACAAAATCATGGAAAACACCAGGGCTACATCTGATAGAACTTCCTCAGAGTCTTTGGTAAATGTGAAGTACAGTACGGAGACAAAAACCCCGGCGAGGGCCCAGAGTGTCCCGCTCACGATGCCCGACAGGTGCCTGGGGCGGTGGCAGCGGTACCAGATGGGGAAGAGGACGGACACGCAGCGCTCCACACTGAGGGCTGTCAGCAGCCCCAGGCTGCTCAGGTCAAACACGTGGCACAGAAATCCAACCACAAATACAAAATCTGAATAGAGAGGAGCAAAATGAAGCAAAGAAGTACAAAATGCTTTTAAGGTCAAAAAGGCTAATAGAATCAGGAAATACAGGAGGATGAGGGAGAAGTCAGCAACAGCCAGGTTTAGGATGTAGACAGTGAAAGGGCTCTGCTTCATGTGGAAGCCCAGGAACCACATGACCATCCCATTCCCCACCAGCCCACAGAGGGAAATCCCCAGGCAGACACCCCCAAAAACAATCAGTTTGTACGAAATGATCAAGCAAGTATTGTTAATAAATTCCTCAATGTCCAGAGATCCATAAGTCATGTTCAGAGTGAGGTTTCTTGTGTCAGTCTCCTCCATGGTGAATGACCCTGCTCCAGGTGGCCGCCTTCTCCCTTTCCCACCACCTCCTAGGAGAGACAGGGAACCAGAAGGGAACGAGGGCCATCAGCATTCCCAGCACCCACCACCTGTCCCCATGCTCCCATGTCAGACCCAGGAAGAACCTCATTGCCCTGCTGTGCCCAGGACAGGCTCCCACCCCTCCAGCCCTGTCCCTGGACAGGAGACGTCTCCCACCTGTCCGTCCCTGCACTCCTACCTCCTGGTGCTCCTGGGAACAGGGCTGTCACAGGAGCCCTGGCACACGGGACCTCCAGGCCTGCCAGGAGAACGGGTCTGGTGGTGGCTGCTGGAACCACCCGCTGTGCTTCAGCCTCGTCCCTTTTGCCAGGGGTGCAGGTCTTCAGCCAGAGATCACACCCCCTGGTCAGGAGCCTCCCCTCACAATCTCTCCACATCGGTGACAGCTTCCCCTCACATGTCCTGTGTGCGGAGATCTTGTCAGTAGGAGTTGGCCATGTCACCCCCTTCCTCTCCATCCCTCCGTTCTATAGCAGGAGGTACTGATCTATTATGATCCCATTAATACAGGCACTAGGACTCTATAATTTTAAATGCCATATAAATGAATTTAATGCTATGGAGAAGGAGGGGAGAGCATAGATAATATGTCCTTTCAGGTGCTGAGAATCCTGTGTCAAAACTCTCCTCTGATGAGCCCATGGGGCCAAGCTCTGGCCTTGCCTCCACTT